TGCAGATAAAGGCCCCCGACCGCCAGCTCCTCAGGCCCTGTCCAGAGCTTGATGGCAGATTGGCTTGGCCACTTGGGGTTTGCCAGGCTCAATTGTAAAGTTTTGCTTAGCATGCGTTCCGGACTCACTCCGAGGCAATTACCCCTTGTTTGGGCAGCTGGTGGCCTTCCAGGGGTTTACGGAAGGAAATCCTCAACCCGTGCCCTTCCCCCTTTTAGAATGACTTGCAGACCTGGGCCTGGCCCAGGGGACAAGGCTGGGCACCGAGCTGCGCTGGGACTGGGCTCTGCCTAAGTTATGTGCAAGCACAGCTGTTCCTCCTCCTAGCTGCCAGTGGGCAGCTGTGGGCATGACAGGAGGGCTCGGCTGCCAGTCATTCCCCGAGACTCAACTGTGTCCTCGGCCCGCGCCACTCGCGCCCAGCCTCCACCCACTCCAGCAGTGAAGATTGGGTTTGTCAGGCCCTACGCCAAGAGAAGGGTGGCACCGCCCTCCAAGGTGGGAGCCGCAGTCTCAGGCATCCTCAGAGGCCCGGCGGGTCACAGACATGAGTGGACTGGGGCTACAGTTGGAAAAGACAGGGCTTGGATACACACAGCAGGCAGGGAGTACGCATCGACTTTCCTCAGCCTCCCAAAAGGACAGCTTGGGGTGGGGGGGGGGGGGGCTCCAAGCAGGTTTGGGGAGGAGGCAGACATCATGAATTTAGCTTCCCTTGGGTTCCAGCCTAGAATTTGGTTCCATCCTCCTCCCCTTCCTTCCCCTGTGCTTTTGTGCTTTCTGGTTTTGGGTGTCAGCACTAGGGGTTGAACTCCCAACCCTACACTTGCAGGGCAAACACTCTCCCACGGAAGCCAGGTCCCCAGCCCAGACTGTGGTTTCTATGCCCTAGAAGACAGGAAATCTGGAGGACTGGGCTGTATGGGGAGCACAGTGCCAAGGGCAGACGATAGGGTGGCCTGGACCCCTGGCATCAGGCTTGCGCTGTCCCCCAGCTAGCTCCACAGTGTTCCTGTCCTCACAGTGTGGTTACAGGAAGGTCTTCGGCCTCCCCACGGACCCCTGCCCAGGACAGCCCTCCCTTTGGGTGACCATTTGCAGAGAAACAGCACAATTAACCAGGCAGTTAACTCAAAACTTGCAGGGGCTTCCTCCCACCGGGCCCAGCTGACTGAGCTGGAGTTGGCAGTGGTCAGGCCGCAGGGAAGGGTGGCAGGTGTTTCATCTGGACCAGAGGCTCAGACACTTGGAAAACACCTCCCCAGATGCCCAGCACATCCCCCCTCCCAATACAGACCTGACCTGGGATTCCCAGGCTCTGGCCAGCCTTCCCAGGAAGATAAGACCTGGAAGATCACAGTTTGAAGCCCAACTCAGGCAGAAAATTCTGTGAGACTCCCATTTCCTATTAACCAGCAAAAAGCCAGACTGAAGATATGGCTTAAGTGGCAGATGCTAGTGGAGAGCAAGCAAGCCGAAACTGAGGCTTGGAATTCAAGCCCCAATATCAACATAAAAAAAAAACAAACCAACATTTTTGGCATCTCACCTCTCAGTAGCTATTTTGCTTCACAAATTCCATCCACCTTGATGAAGAGTAATTTTTTTTTGTTTGTTTTGGGTCCGGTCGTGGGCCTGAACTTTGGGCCTGGGTGCTGTCCCTCAACTCTTCAGCTCAAGGCTAGCACTCTACCACTTGAGCTACAGCGACACTTCCAGTTTTTTTTCTTTTTCCTTATGTGGTGCTGAAGAATCGAACCCAGGGCCTCAGGCATACAAGGCAAGCGCTCTACCACTGAGCCACCTTCCCAGCCCAGGGTAATGTTTTTTACACAAGAAACAAGTTAGAGGTAGAAGTTGTTTGGAAATGGTTTTCACTCATTTTTATGACATGTCTGTTACCCTGGCTTCCGAGATGAAGCCTGTCTGAGGGAAATACAAACACCTCTGCCTCGTGTCCCCGCCAGGTCTGCACCTCACGGATGGAGTGCCTGCAGCCTCCCACAGCACGTGTGTCCTTCCAGTCCTGCGTGGGGGCCGGTCCCACTGTGCCCAATTGGGCACTGTGCCAGGGAGACCACGGCCCAGGGACTGCCCCCCCCACAAGCCCACGCGTGGCCTAGAGGATCAGGACAGCAGTGAGGCCCTGAGCAGCACCCACTGCCCTGCTGGGGGGGGACTTCAGGCAAGGCATGTCGGGTTCTTCCCAGCAAAGGTGGGGGGACTGGAGTAGGGCACCTGCCAGGGAAGACCCCTAGCAGCGTCCTCTGCCGTCCCGTCCCAGTGTTTGGAGGAAGCAGCAAGGCTTTAGCGCAGCCCCTGCTGTGTTTCAGATTGACGGGCTGGAGGAGAAACTGAGCCGGTGTCGGAGGGAGCTGGAGGCCGTCAACACCAGGCTTGACTGGGCAGATCTGAGCCCAGAGGACAGGTAATGCCCTCGGGCCCCTCCCCGCCCACTGCCCACCCTGGGCACCCAGTGTGGGCTGGGCCTGAGGCGCAGGGTATGGGTCCCTGGCCTGACCCTCAGCCCGTCCCCACCCCCCACGTCTCCCCAGGGACTTGAGCTATAAAACTTCGCCCTTCTACAGGCGGTCTCTGGAGAAGGAGAAGAACAGCCTTATGAGCAAAGCCTCCAACTTCGGTAAGAAAGTTCCCCTCCACCCAGCCCCAGGATTAGGAGGGTTGTTCTTTGTTGCAAAGGAGCATAAGGTTCCCTAGTGGCTCGGTATGGTATGGAGGGGTGTGGCTGCAGCCAGGTCCAGAACCTTATGTCCACCTCGGCCCCATGTCTGTTCTCTCCCATCCCCACGCCCCCAGCTGCCATCGGGAACCCCCTGCAGTGGGAACCGAGCAGCCCCCTGCGGGCATAGACCAGGCTCTTGTGGGTGGAGTGATGCTGCCATCTTCTGGGCACCCGGGGCAGAGCAGGGAGAGCCCTGACGTGAGCAGCCCTGCCCTCTGAGGCCGGGCGGGGAAATGGTGGGCGGGGAAATGGTCTGCAGAATTTCCTCCCATCCCGGAGGCCAAGCCTGGCCATGGATGCACCCAAGAACACCAATGCAAATCAACCCAGACCGGGCCTGTAGGGGGGGGCGGGGTCCTTACTCCTGAAAGTATAGCGGCGTTGGACCTCTGCCTCCTTTGTGGGTCTCGAGTTCCTGCTGCGCCAGGCTAGGGAGGGCAGGTGCTGGGGAGGCCCACATGGGTCTTAGCTGCCCTCAGTTTCTCCTGGAAGAAGCCCTAATGAGTGACACTCTACCAGGACATCACACCACCAGCATGCTTTGCCCTTCAAGTGTGGCCTTTCTGGTGATTCCACCACCCACTGCACTTGAAGAGCAGTGGTTGCTCAGAATTTGGCACCATGATTTTGGCAGCTGTGGGGCTTGAACTCAGGGCTTGGACACTGTCCCTGAGACTCAAGTGCTCTACCACTTGAGCCACAGCGCCACTTACAGTTTTCTGGCAGTTCATTGGAGACAGTCTCATAGACTTTCCTGCCTGGGCTAGCTTTGAACCCTGATCCTCAGATCAGAGCCTCCTGAGTAACTAGGACTATAGGCATGAGCCACCAGTGCCTGGAAGCACCAGGACTTTTAATTTAGCCCAAATGTGCAGGTTCTGTGGCTATGGGAGATCAAGGGCACAGGCCGGAATGGCTAAAGCAGAATCTCTTATTCTGCAGTGTCTGATCATCTTGGGATGGGAAGGCTAACTGGTGAGCCCAGACTATCCCATTTCCCCTTTCCTCCCAGAAAAGGAGCTCAAGTTGCTTCGGCACGAGAACCGGAAGAACACCATGCTTTCAGTGGCCATCTTCATCCTCCTGGCCCTGCTCTATGCACACTGGACCATGTGAGTCTGGGATTCTCTGCCAGCACCGGCTTTGCCATGGCTCTCTGCTCGGGACCAAGACCAGTGGACCAAGGTGCAGGGCACCCTTCTCCCTTACCGGTGCTCCTAGCGCCCAAGGGAAAAGCAATAAAGAGCGCGGGTCACTCTGCTCTGAGTACGCGTGGTGTGGCGCCACAGGGGAAGCGTCCTGCGTCAGGGTGTCAAGCTCCTGGTGTAGAATTCACAACAGAGGTAGAGCAGTCCCTGGGCCCCTCCCCAGACAGCGTGCTGCGGCCCGCAAACGCACCGCAGGCCCGCCACTCAGTGCCACGGCCTGTAATGGCAGAAAATAAAATGCAGCCTGTGCACTGAAGGGCAGCTTGGGGCTTGAGGTGGTCTTGGAGGTCCGGGAAGCTGAGGTCATCTGTCTTCAGGAGGCCAGCAGGGCGGAGGCCTCTGGGCTGACTGACCTATGGTGACAGCGGCCAGTAAATCAGGTGGGTTCACAAAGGTGGGGGGAGGGAGTCCAGCCAGAGGGGGGCAAGGCAGGAGCAGCACTCGTGTCTGGGCCCACTGGAGCCAGAGGGGGTGGGGGTGGGGGCGACGCCCGCTGAGCGAGGAGGAGACACTCCGGCAGGATGTCAAGGGTGGGCAGGCGCTGGGGGAACCAGCCGGTCACAGGCCGTAGAAAATGTACAGCCTGGTGGGGAGGCGCAGCTAACACCTCACATCTCCCCCCCAAGGGCAGTCCCCAGCACAGGCAGAATGTGGGGGGCCTAGTCTCAGGGGTCGCTGACCAGGGCCAACAAAATGTCCCTCTTTCCTCATCCCTGCTCCATGACACTACCTGGTCTGTGAGTTGTTTCAATCACACAAGCTGATTCTGGACTGTGACCGTGCCACCGGCCATGTGGCTGTACTTACTGGTGTGGGGTGGGGTGCCTCCCTTCCCCGGGGGGCTGAGTTCAGTCACTGCCTGCCTCGGGGCGGCAGCAGCGCAGGAGTCCTGCTGGGCCCCGGCTGGCCGGGCTCTGCTCGGCTGGCCATCCTTCCTCCCGTCTCGAGCAGAGCTTCCTCTCACTTTGCGTCTGAGCTGTCCCCCACACCAGTCCCCCACCTCACAGCACCAAGACAACCAGAACAGCCCCAGCACAGACACACAGGCATTAAAAATATGTTTATCTTTAATAATCCAAGATTCTGCAAGACACTGATAGACCCAGAACTGGGTGGAAATGGAGCATCTCAGGGGGCGGGAACTGGCTGGAGGACCCCCAGGTGGAATCCATTCCAACCTCACAGGAGCCTCAGTGCCCTATCTCCATGGAAACCAGTCTGACACAGATGGGGCCCTGGAGAGCTGACACTATGTCTCTGAGGCATTTCCCATGACAAACCACCACGGGTGCCCCCCCCGCCCCCCGCAGTGCTGCCCAGCTTCTCTCTCTCTCTAGAGGAGATGGACTGGCGCGTGGCAAACAGGCCGACGGGATCTCCTAATGGCAAGGAAAAGGATAGCAAGCAGCTACCTCCACCTCAGAACTCGGCCAAGATGAGGGTAGCAGGGCAGAGGCCGTATGATTGCCAGAGGGCTTACTTGTGGGGCCCCTGCTGCAGCGGGAATAGAAGGCAGGTCTTCAAGGCTGCCTCCTGCCCTCCGCGAGCTGCCTGGCATCTGGTGAGCCCGGGAGAGTTCTAGCCACACCTAGTACCAAAGACCACACACCTGGTTCCCAATGTGGGCCCTCAAGCCTCCTTCCCGGCCTGCAGGAATTCTCAGAGGTCCAGGCTGGGGAGGACTCCAGGAGGAGTGGAGAGGAGACGAATGAGCATCAAAACAGCAAGAGACAAAACCTTGATTTATACAACAGCTATCCTGGCCAGCTCACGACAGCGGGCCTCTGCCCGCTCAGGGTTGGCCCAACGTAAGTTGGGCAAAGCAGGGGCCTGGCCACCCTCAGGGGCAGTGCATGGAACTCAGAAAAGTGAGTCTACAGGATTCCAGAGGGAAGGCAGAGCCCAAGCCTTCCGCTCTGCCGTGTGTTACCCCTCAGGAGCACTTGAGGCTGAGTCCTGGTGGGGAAACGGTTCCCAGGGAATGTGTGGGGAGGAGGCCACCCTCCCTGTGGCCAGGTCAAGAAGGTACCAGTGGCGCAGGCCCCGTGCCAGCACTCGGCAGGGGCCCAGCGCACAGCGATCCCAGGCCTCAGGCACTGTGCCTCTGGATGAAGGAGAGGACGTCCTCCTTGGACAGCTTGTCTGGGTCCTGCGGCTTCTGAGAGTCGTGCACACGGATGCCATCTCCCCACTCCCAGAAGAGCCGGCCATAGTAACAGACACTGGGAGGGAGTGTGAGGAGACATCAGGGGCTGAACTTAGGACCGAGAGACGGACTGCTAGCCCACCCCGGCTTCCAGGACTTAAGGACTTAAGTGCGCGTGTGGGGCAGGGGAGGTTCTGTCCGTGACTCCAGTTGAGGGTCTTCTCTGCAAGCCACCAATTCCTTCAGCTCCTCCCAGAACCTGCTTTTCCCAGCAAACTGCTGCTGCTAATGGCATCCACCTGGCGCGCATGCGCACTAGGCGTCCTGGTTTATCTGTCAGCTCCACTGGGGCCGCCTAAGTGTGGTGACCAGCAAGGGTCGTGGCTCATGTTAGGCACACTGGGCTGCCATCAAAACCTGTGACTAGCACCCTGGCAAACAGATGCTGCTCCTGACAGAGCCTGCCATCCCAAAGGACAAGGTGGAGCCCCTCAGCACGTCCCCACCGCCAGGCCGGTGTCAGATGTCATAGGAACAGTGGCTGCTCTGTGGGCACTTCGCACCTGGGACCCCTCGCCTTCCTAGCAGGCAGGCCCAGGCATCGCTCTCTTCGCTGAGCTCACTACCAGGCTCAGCCACACCTGTACCATGGACCAGCCTCGGCTCTGGCTCCCGCAGGAGGACCCAGACTGCTGAGGGGTGGCTTGGAGAAAGCTACTCACTGAAACGGGGCAATGGAGTCTGCCGGGAGGCTGAAGGTGGATGTCTGGGTTTTCTTGTTGTAAAAGAACTTCCTCTTGAAGCTTTTGCTAAATGCCATAGTCCATGGCTCTGTGAGGAGGAAGAGCAGAATTGCTCAGAGAGGATGAAGCACCCAAGATCCAGGGGCTGAGCAGCACAGGGGGCCACGCCCCTCCCAGGCGGGGACCAGCCGAGAGGAAGACGACCCCTCAGCGGCCCCACCCCCAAGAGGCAGCATCGCCGCTTACAGGGGGGATAGGGACAGGGACAGGGACCAAGCTGGTCTTCCTGGACCTGCTGCCGCCTGCTGAGAGCATCACGCAGGCCTCTATCTCTCAATCTACAAGTTCATCTTCCATACCCCAGCTCCCAGGCCTGGGAGAACAGAAGAGGCCCAGGGAACACAATGCCTGTACCATGATCCTCAGGAAAGTGCTAGCCTGGTCCTGCCCACCTCAGTGGGGAGCCCACAGCACTGGCTCTGGCAGGGGCTGGGCAGTGAGCCTGGCTGGGAAGGGGTGGGCACAGGAGGCAGCCACTCATCACCCACCGTTCACAGTCCTGACGATGTAGAGGCCTGTGGGCACAAAGTGACGGTCGTCCCGCCCTGTGTAGCTGAGCCTTGGCGTGCCGCTGGAGCCCTTGATGATCTTCATTTCCAACCTGATTTCCCCAAGCAGTGTGCACACAGGAATGAAGGGACAGTGAGAGAGAGGGTCTACCGTGAGTCCCTGGCTAATGTCATATTCCCCCAACCACAGTATTCGGTCCTGGTTTGACAGAAGAGATGGAGGCACTGACTTCAGGGAATTGCTGAGCCACACAGGGACAGAGTCAGTGGCAGTGCTGGGCTTAGACCTCAGGCTCCAACTCCCCAGCAAAGCAGTAGAGACAAGGGAGTGAAAAATAATCCAGTACATGAGACCAGTATGTGAGACCACGGGTGTCTACCGCCATGGCAGGCTGTAGCCACATGAGAGTCGGATTTGAGCAGCACATGCTGCAGAGTCCACAGCCATAGTTATGCCCCTCTTCCCCCTCCAGGCTCAATCTGGATCTCTGCACTATGAGCGGGAATTTATGGCGTTTCAAGCCGCTCTGCCCCTTGCAGGGACAAGCGTAACTATTAGAGCATCAGTGAGCCTGTATTTCTGCCCTGCCTGCTCCTGACAGATGCTGAGTCAGCTCATGGCCAGGACTCTGGGCCACTTGGGAGGCAGTGGGGGGAGGGGCGGGGGGTGAAGGTGGTACCCGGGCCAGCGCTCCTCCCCACCACAGTAGAATTAGAGTAAACCCTGACTGCCCCCATCCCACCTCCCCTCACATCACCTGACAAAAATCTTCTCCATCTCCTCCAGCCTGTAGACCTCCTTCACCCTGTGTGGGGAGAGGGGGAGACACAAGTTCATGAGGACCCACTCAGCAAGGAAACAGGTGGCAGAAGGTGCCATGCCTACTCTCACCCTCAGCTCCTCCCTGCAACCAGCAGCCCACCAAGGCCACCCAGCTTCTCCAGCCTGCCCCAAGGCACAAGGGTCCTGAAGCCCAAGAGAACGGAGCAAAGGCCTGACCAGAACTCCCACCCCGAGGTCGCGCTCACTGCCGCCAGCAGCCAGAAATCCGAGGCCCAGTTCTCACTCAGGTCTGCCTACGTAGCGTTCTGACGTTCTATAGCAGAATGATTCTAAATAGTCCTAATTGTTGTGCTAGCCATAGCAAGGGAGGCCCTGACCAGGGTTCGGGCTCGTGCTTCATGCCTTTCATGCCTGGCCCCCAAATCTGAACTCGCCTCCCAAGAGGGGGAGGTGCCAGAGATCCAGCAAGCAGACAGCAACGGAGGCAGCCCAGACCCAGGCATCACGCCACGCAGACAGAGCTTGCTTCCAGACTTTCAGAGGATATCTAGGAAATGCATTCTCAATGCTGGATTTAATTTTAAGTAGATTTACATTAAAATGAATAATAATCTTGATAAAGTATAAATAGATACCTCAGTCTCTAGTGACAAGAAGCCCCAAGGGGCAGGGCTTGGCAGTTATTACTTTTTAGTAATAACCGCAGACCTTGAGAAATCTGCTCTCCATCTGTTTTCTCTCTGGCTGTTCTTTTCCTCCCCTCCTTTGCCCCACTTCTAACCTTCGCACTGCCTACAATGGCCACAAACCCAGGCTTTTCCCCAAGCACGCGGATCAACCCACACTCTCAAACAATCCTTCGTCCTTTTCTTCACAAAATGCAACTCCTATTCCTGTTCTTACTTGCCAAAAAAAGAAAAACCTACTGCCAGGTTGATGGGCTCATGATATGCAAGTGTGAATGGGGGCACCACGAGGAGTGTGAGCATGCTCAGAAGCACATCACGTGCATCTTCAAGGAGGCCTTTCACCCCCAGAATGAATCTACCTGTGGAGTTCTGCAAAACTACACCAGGCAGGACAGGAGACACCCTGGGGTGAAAGCCTCAACACCCCCAAACTAATCACTCATCAAAGGCACCGTTTCTAGCATAGACCTTGCCTGGCCCACCCAGGGTTCGGTGCAGCAGGCCGAGGGCAGCGGCAGTCCCACCCCGGGGTGAGGGAGGAGGGAGACATATGCTCACCTGATAGGATTCATGTCAGGGCGACTGGGCTTGGACACAGCTTTCACAAATTTCTCAGCAAGCTGAATTCTATAATCCAAACAGAGTCCCTCAGAGGCAAGCAAGAGGTCTTCCCCAGCACCCAGCCTTGAGGCATTTCTACAGCCATAGTGGGAGGTCGTGAACCTGCACAAAACTGCCCCTAGTGGCACCATGTCCAGAGGCCACCCCGCCCATTCCACACCACTTCACATGCCCTCGCCTCCAATTTCCCTGTGTCTTGCTGGATTTCCCCAAGTGCTTTCCACTGAGTTCAGTGGAGAGCTTCAAACATCACCTTCACTGTCACCACACCAGAGGCACTGACTTAAACAGGGCACTCAAGAACTAGGCATGTTCTCAGAAGAGACCCTCTCTCTCCTCACAATTACCACCTCAGTCTGAGTAGCTGTGGTAAGATGGACCAAAGCCCACTACCCATTTCTCATCCTGCACTTTGGACCAGCCAGTGGGTGGGAAGGGAAAACTCAGGGCCTGGTTAGCAGAGGCAGCCAGGGGTAGGGGCAGAGCCTCAAGGGGTTGCTGCCCAGAGCCCTGCCTCGGCCCCACCCTCCTCCACTGGGGCCCGGGTCAGACCGTTGGTTGAAGTGCTGCTCCCGAACATCGCTGCCATTCAGCACAAGGACGTCGAGAATGTGGATGGCGCTGATCTTCCGCTGGGCCTTCCCCTAGGAGGACAGAACACTGTCTACTCTGCTATGTGGCTCGCTGGGGATGGGAAAGGCCCTGGGCCACAGGGGTTTCCTGTTTCCCTCCTGCTGATCCTCAGCACCATAGTGGGCTTCGGTAGCTTTGAACCCCCAGGAATCTCAAAGCCAGCCTAGGCTGCTGCCTGCCACACTGCCCTAGCCAGGCCTGGCTTCTACTCCAGGCCACCTGTTCCCACTGATCATGCTCGAATATCCCAGGAAACAGCAGACTCCTAGCAGGCCTCTTCTTTCTCAGAGGAGTTCTGCTATTAAAACAACAAAAACAACAAACAACAAACCACCTAAACTAGCTACTAACAAATGCTTATATCCAGGGCCCTGGATGTACCAAGTTAATCAGTCACCTCTGGCACTCTACCTTAGCCAGGGCAACTGCTCAAGAAGGAATCATTAGCAAACAGTGCCAGGCTCAGTAGTGCCCAGTTGTCCCCACCCTCACCACAGGACCAACAGGTGAACAGAGGCATTGCTGACCTCCCCTTTCAGCTCATGCACGATTTCCACAGAGAGCAGAGTGTCCCGAGGTAGCTCTGTCTTCAGGTCCAGCTTTACCCAGCGGTCTGACTGGCGGCCATCCCATGTGTAGATCTGGGACTTCTACAGACGGAACAGAGGGTAAGCATGGGGCTGAGGGTTGAGAGGCCCAGTTCTCAAAGGGCTTTTATTGGCAGCTACCAGCTGGCAAATGGCATAGAATAGGATAGAAAGTTTGTTAAGCTTCTCTTTGCTGCCTCTGCAGAAAGTAAGGTGACTAGGCTTAGTCCTGCTGGTAGAACACAGCCTTTAGTCCATGGTTAATAGTCCTCAAGAACAATCCAGCTTGATAAGGAAGAGGAGAAAAGTAAAAGGAGGAAAAGGTGTGTGCAGACACAGAGACGACTGTGGAAGGAGACTGCACACGTGACCTTCCCCAGTTGGGTAAGGCGCAGAGCACTCCCGGGCTCGCGGGGTGCGGGGGAAGGAGAGGGATGTCCCTGCCAGGCAGTGGTGGAGTGCTGCAAAGGACTGGCTGCATGGGCTGAGCCGGGTGAGCCTGCTGCTGGCCTGGGAAGTTCTGCACTCAAGAGGTACCGCAGCAAGTCCCCTTAGCAAGGCAGAGTTGAAAAACGTGAAGAAATGAAATAAATGAATGAATGCTACTTGGTGAACTCAGAGAGAAAAAGAAATAGAGCATCAAGAAATGCCTGTCCTCTGTGTATTACCTATATAATAACAATTTTTAAAAATTGCAAAAAAAAAGAAATGCCTCTCTAGAGTAAGCCCCAGATCCTTGGTGCCATACAGCACACCAGAGAGAGGGCGCTGACACCTCCCTAAGTTGTAGACTCACCCCCAGGCCAAGGAGGAACTTCTGTTCACTGCCAGACACCATGCAGCGATAGTCAAACACAGGCCGGATCTTCTCCAGGGTTTTGGAGGTGAGCAACGTGGGCTTGTAGCTGAAGATGTCGATCTCAGTGCCCTGCAGCGTGGGTGAGAGGAGACACCACGGGACTACAGGAGGGCCTGGCCATACACACACCCCTAGGAGCCAGGCAGGCCAGGAGCAAGGGACAGGAAGCACCTGCTCTCCCAAACACGCTCCCCTGTGCCCTCTTCTTCACCTAACCAAGCACTAAATGGGCTCTATTTCCATCTGTTTGGAGTGTTCGTCTAGGACGTATTAGAAGAGGCTGGGAAAGAAAAGGACACCAAGTCCCAACTACAGATCAATGTACCAGAGCCATGAGGAAATGTCACCGGAATATAAAAGCCACGCAAAAGCAAGGATTCTCCAGTTGGTTTGGGAGCAGAGAGACATGACCTCTGTATCCCACTCACCAACTGTGCACAATATTATTCTAAGGCCATCTTGAGCCGCATTCTATCCCTGACCTCCACAAATTCAGTACCACAAGAAGCAGGAGGTAGGCAGTAAAAAAGATCAGCAGGCCAAAGAACTCTGAGGCGTAGTTCACCAAGAACAGGCTGGAGTCTCTGGGACAAGCCCAGCTCCACAGTGGGCACCTCTGGTTCGCTCTGCCAACACTCCACATCTCCACAGGCAAGTCCTACAAAGCCTGCAATGGTCAGGGCATGCTGGTCAGAACATCTCTGCTCGAAAAGAATGCTGCCACAAGCACACCTCAGACAGGAATCTGGTCAGCCTGCTAGCTCTGCACCTGACACCCACGTTTCTCACCAACAGAGGTTGCAGTCGAGGCTCTCAGGGCCCAGGCGATGCCTGTGCAGCCTTCTGGACACCGGGCATTTGAGGCCTTAAGTGATTCCTACCACTTCTAGATTAAAGCCTCCAACTTGTCACCACTCAAGCCAGATTTACCTGAATTAACTCAAAGAACTTTGATTTGGGGTCCGAGGAAGAAGGAGCAACTCGAGCCTGGTCTGGGATCTGAAAGGAAAAAAACAAGGGCTTTGATTTCCAAGTGCCCCGCCTGCTGCCCAGGGCTGGGTGAAGGCGAGGGGCAGAGTCAGATGGGGGAAAGAGGACAGGCACGCAAGAAAGGGGGCTGAAAAGGGAGATGGGGTCTGTAACCCACCGCTCCCCATCAGGTCCCATGGCAGCACACCCCAAAGCCACTTCCCTCAGGAGCTTTTTGAGCTGCTTTCATTACCCAGGTGAAATCTTGTCCACCACCCCTCCTGACCCAGCTGCAGGCTAAACTGGTAGTAAGGGCAGGAAACAGTTTCTAAGAGAGCTAAAACAACACAACCCACTCAGGTGGGGTGCTGCTGTAGCAACAGGGGTGGGTGGGGTGACAGTCTTGTTCTTGGCTACAGCTTCCCTGCCTGCAGCAACCCGGGCTGGGGAAACTTACATCCCACAGTCGGAGGCACTCTTTCCGGATTTCTGCTTGCCGAGGCTCACTCAGGGTCCTAGGAGAAGCAAACCAGAAAGTGATGGAGTTGTCTACAAGGCCCAGCAATGGGACCCTATGTGCTCTAGACTGCTGTGTAGTGGGGCAGCAAGCACAAATAAATGCTTAAGTGCATGCGCAGTGGCTTCAAGGTGCTGATGTGGCTTTCCTCGTGGAATGTGGTTTTCCTCAAGGGAAGGGAGGAGACATCCTCCCGCTCTGCACCACCCCATGCGAACGCTGTCCTGGGAGATGTCACTATGCTAGTATCTCGCAAGGCCCAGTTAAGCCACACTCAGGTGTTCCTGGCTAGTTCTGTGTGTTCTCTCGCTCACTCTCTGCTCTGTGACCCTCAACACCTGTGTTCTACCTGTGCAGGCGAGGGGGGAGGGGAGGGCTACGCACAGCCTCAAGCACTCCCAACTTGCCCACACCTTCTTCCCATTACTCTTATCTGCTGCAGGCAATGTCAAGTCTTGGAGGGCACCATCCAGGAATGCCTCTCTGCCATCTTCCAGAGACCACAGCAGAATATGAGACACAGTGGAGTTTTAAATGAAATAACTGAAGGCACAGGGCGGGGCAGAGAAAGAGCTGCTTTTGAAAGAAGTGAGTTCTGGAAAGTGGGCAGTACTCACGTGTCTTGAACAAAGGCATGGATTTTGGCCAGAGCTTTGATCTGCAGACTACAGTGGCTAGGAGGGGGAAAAAAAAAAAAAAAGGTGAATTTCGAAGGACCGACGAGCAAGACAAGTGCCATCAGCACAAAGAAGTCTGACCAGAGCAGCAATCGTTTATATTTGAGGAAGGTGAGAGACAAAAGAAGACAGCCAGAAGGCTGAGCGCCGAGCAGAACCGAGTCGAATCCCCAGGCACTCAGATCCCAAGTCCTGCTTTAAAAAAAAAAGTCTCACCTAAACCTTAAGGAATCTGAAAGTACTGGATGGGCAATGGTGGCTCATTCCTGTAATCCCAGCTGTTCAGGAGCTGAGACCTAAAGGATTGTAGTTAAAGCCAGCAGAGGCAAAAAAGTCTTCAAGACTTAATCTCCAGTTAACCAGCAAAATGCCAGACTAGAGGCATGATTTACATGAAAGACCACACCAGCTGAGCAAGAAAGTCGAGAAAGAATACAAGACTTGGAGTTCAAGCCCTATAGTAGCATAAAAATTGAAGAATAAAAATTAAAATTAAAAAATTGCAAGCAGTAGTAAACTACCTAAGTACAACAACAAAACCCAACTCAACTGCAAACTACACTGATACACCACCTGCTTTTCCGACTTCCTAAACCACACTGACATATCACAGTTGCCTTTTCTACTTGCGTCTCCACAGTTTTGCACACACAATGTCTGGTATTAAGTAAAACATTATCAAGTACATGATGAGACAAGCAAACATGAAGCCGGGCGCCGGTGCTCACGCCTGTAATCCTAGCTACTCAGGAGGCTGAGATCTGAGGATCGCGGTTCAAAGCCAGCCCGGGCAGGAAAGACTATGAGACTCCTATCTCCAATAAACCACCAGAAAACCAGAAGTGGCGCTGTGGCTCAAGTGGTAGAGTGCTCGCCTTGAGCTGAAGAGCGGAAGGACAGCACCCAAGCCCAGAGTTCAAGCCCCATGACCAAAAAAAGAAAGAAAGAAAGAAAGAAAAGAAAAGAAAACGAGCCTCTAACAGAACAGAAACAGTCTGACAGAACAAGACTCAGAGTGGTCCATGTACTGGAATTCCCAAGGGCCTGAGTACATACCTTAAAACACCCAATGGACAGGTAGACAACAAATACAGAAACAATGGAGAAGTCCAGCAAAGATAGAGACACTCTGTTTCCAAAAGGCAAGAAAAATCCTAGAAAATGAAAACTGTATAAGAAATGATAAGTTATTCTGATGGATTTATCAGCAGACTGAACACAGTAAAGGAAATAATCAACGAACCTGAGCACAAACTAAAACATAAAGAAAGAAACAAAAAACGTATGCCAAGGCCCTGGGAGCTCATGCCTATAATCCTAGCTACTCAGAATGCTAAAATCTGAGGATCATGGTTCAAAAAGCCAGCCAGGCAGGAAAGTCTGGGAGACTCTTATCTCCAATTGACCACCAGAAAACTGGAAGTGGAGCTGTGGCTCAAAGTGGTAGAGAGCTAGCCTGGAGTAAAAGAGCTCAAGAACAGTGCCCAGGCCCTGAGTTCAAGCCCCATGACTGGAAAACAAACAAACAAAAAACATAACAGACCATAATTATTGTCTGCAGGATAGTAATTATTTAACATGCACATAACTGGAATCCCAGAAATAGAAGAATAGGACAAAAAAGCACTGACAACATAATGGTCATGAATAAGACCATGGAGTCATGAAGAAGATCCATTCACAAATCCAAGTCGGTGAACCACAAGCAGAATAGACATTAAGAAAACAACGTGAGGGGCTGGGAAGGTGGCTCACTAGTAGAGCGCTTGCCTTGCATGCCTGAGGCCCTGGGTTCGATTCCTCAGCACCACATAAGCAAAAAGAAAAAAGCTGGAAGTGGCGCTGTGGCTCAAGTGGTAGAGCGCTAGCTGAGCTGAAGAGCTGAGGGACAGCGCCCAGACCCAGAGTTCAGGCCCCCCGGACCTCCCCCCCCCAAAAAAGAAAACAACATGAAAATTAACCATGAGCAACAAAACACACATGAGAATCAGGAAACTAACAATGATTAATAAGACAGGGATGTAGCTCAGTGACAAAAGGCTTGCCTAGCAAGTGCAATGTGTCCTGGGTTCGATCCCCAGTACCAAAAAAGAAAAGACAAAAAAAAGGAAAAAAAAAAAAGCCAGGCGCTGGTAGCTCATTCCTGTAATCCTAGCTACTCAGGAGGCTGAGATATGAGGATGCTGTTTGAAGCCAGCCCTGGCAGGAAAGTCCATTGAGACTCTTATCTCCAATAAACCACTCAGAAAACCGTAAATGGCGCTGTGGCTCAAGTGGTAGAGTACTAGCCTTGAGCTAAAGAGCTGAGGGACAGAGTCCAGGCCAAGTTCAAGCCCCATGACTGACAAAAACAAACAAAACAAAACAAAAAAACCAACACACACATACACACACAAAAAACAAACAATAAGGATAAGTAAAGAAAGGGTAAGATGGACTTCTCACAGGAACAAAACAGAAAACATGGAATAAGGTCTTTAAAGTGGAATGCTGGCTTTTAGAGAAAAGTCAACCTCACATTCTACATCCAATGAAAACATGACTCAAAAACAAAAGGAAGCCGGGGCGCCGGTGGCTCACACCTGTAATCCTAGCTACTCAGGAGGCTGAGATCTGAAGATCACGGTTCACAGCCAGCCCAGGCAGGAAAGTCCGTGAGATTCTTATCTCCAGTAAACCGCTCGAAAACCGGAAGTAGCACTGTGACTCAAATGGTAGAGCGCTCGCCTTGAGCTGAAGAGCTGAAGAACAGTGCCTAAGCCCAGAGTTCAAGCCCCACTACCGACAAAAAAAAAATTACATCTTTAATAAACAAAAGCTGAAGAACTAAGTCTCCAGCAGACTTGTACTATAAAAGGCTAAAAAGAAAAATTCTTAGGCTTAAGGAAAGTGACTGTAAACAGAAACCTGGCTCTGAAGTCAGGAATGGTAAATGGTAAATATGTCAGTAGATACCAAAAACAAGTCCAGTGTGGTGGTACACACCTGTAATCCTAGCACTTGGGGAGACTGAAGCAGTACACAGCCTTGTACATTGTGAGTTTCAGATTAGTACAGGTTATGTGACTTGTGCAAACCAACTTTTGAGCAAAACCAAATCACTAACCAAAAGAAAAACTGATTAAATCAGATTCCATAATCAAAATGTAAAGCTTGTAGGTATCCAAGTACAAGTATTAATAAATAGAAAAACCTGAAGATTTCACAAAAAAGTTATAAGTAATGATTTAGTTGTAATTAATGAATGAATTTAGGCAATTTTAAAAGGATATAATGTCAACACACAAATTCAGTCATATTCCTGTACACCAACAATGAATAGTCCCAAAAGGAAATAAAGAAAACAATATACAATAGTATCAATAAGAACAAATAATAAGTTAAACCAAATACGTGAAGACTTGTATCCTGAGAAGTATAGGAGAGAAATTAAAGAATAAGAATAGTGGACAAATACAATCATAATACTCATTATGTGAAAATGGAACCATCATCTGAGATAGACGGGAAGGGTGACACTGATCTAGATGCAATGTCCACATAACTCACAAGTGATATCAAACCTTGTACAACTATTTACAGATAACAAAAACCTGAATTAAATAAATGAAAGAAATAAAAGATATAAATAAAGACATAAATAAATGGAAATACACATTCATAGATTGGAAGACTATTAAGACAGCAATACAACTCAAAATAACTCATAGATTCAATGCAGTCTCTGTTAAAATCCCAATGGCAGTTTTTGCAGAAATGCAAAACCCCATCCTAAAATTAATATGGAACAAGGTAAGTTCTGAGTACCAGTAGTCCAAGCTATTTGGTAGGCTAAGGTCAGAGAATTTGAGACAAATCTGGACAAATTTTAAAAGGAGGATGGGGCTAGGGATATAGCTGAGCAGTAGAGCACTTGCTTAGCATCGGCATAACACCCAGAAAGTACTATAATTGAAAACACACATATAAGATGTTTCAAGGGACCCCCAAGTAGTTAAAACAATCTTTTGGGGGAAGTGAGGGAAGTACTAGAATTGAACTCAACATCTCCAGCCTTTTTTTTTTTTTTTTTTGTCAGTTATGAGATCTGAACTCAGAAACTGGGCGCTGTCCCTGACCTCTGTTGCTCAAAGCTAGTGATCTACCACTTTGAGCCACAGCTCCACTTCCAGTTTTTGCGTAATTAATTGGAGATAAGAGTCAAATGGAGACTTTTTTTTAACCAAGGCTCAGATTTCAGCTTCCTGAGTAGCTAGGATTACACGAGTGAGCCACTGGTGCCTAGCTCTAACCACTTTTTATACTGGTTATTTTTACATACTTCTTTGTTCCCAGGCTGGCCTTGAATCAAAATATCCAATCTCTGCCTCCCAAATAACTAGAATTACAGGCTTGAACCACCATACCCAGCTCAAAACAATCTTGAAAATGACAAGCAAAGTTGGAAAATTCAAACTTCCTGATTTCAAAACTTACTTTCAAAATAACAGTAATCAAAAACAGTGTGAAACCAGCATAAAAACAGATACTCCAACAGAGGAAGAATAGAGAGCCTAGAAACAAATTCTCATATATATGGGTCGAAAGATTTTTACAAGTGTAACGAGACAATTCATTGGCAAAGCACAGTCTTTTCAACAAATGGTGCTGGGGAAAATTGGGTATCTACTGCAAAAGAGTGAAACTAGACCTTTATCTACATTGAATATAAACTTAACTCAAAATTAGACTTGGCACTGGTGGCTCACCCTTCTAATCCTAGCTACTCAGTAGACTGAGATCTGAGGACCAAGGTTTGAAGCCAGCCTGGTCAGGTTAAATCCAAGAGACTCTATCTCCAATAAAACAGCAAGAAGTTGGAAGTGGATGTGTAGCTCAAATAGCAGAGTACTAGCCTTGAGCAACTAAAGCAAGCAAGAGCTCAAGTTCCTGAGTTCAAACCCCAGTATTGGTACCAAAAAAAAAAAAAAAACCTCAAAATGGATCAAAGACCTCAATATATGGGCTAAAATATAAAATACTTAGAAGAAAACAGAGAGGAAATGTTTCATAACATTGGGTTTAGCAATGGTTTCCTGGATATAACAACAGCTCAGGCAATGGGCAAATTGAGCTTCATCAGTATTAAACACTTCTGTGACAAGCACACAGTGAGAAGTCAACAATAAAAAACACTTTAAAAAGTGCACAAAGGCCTTGAATAGACATTTAAAGACACACAAACGATCCACAAGCACATGAAAAAATGTTCAACTATCCCTAGCCACTAGGGAAAGGCAAGTCAAAAGCACAACAAGATACCACCACTGGAGTACATCAGGATGGCTGCTATCAGAACACCCAGAAGGGAAATGACGAGTGCTGGTTGGGATCTGGGAAAACTGCAGCACAGCATTCCTCAAAACAAATACCACACAACCCAGCAGCTCCCAAAGCAGGGACTCCAACAGATGCCCGCACACCAGTGCTCACAGCACTATTAGCAACACAGCTCAAAGGTGTAAACAACCCAAATGACCTTCAGCAGGTGAACAGACAGTGGTGTAAGCATACCATCAACATTATTCTGTTTAAAAAATTAAATTGTGGCTGGGCAATGGTGGCTCACGGCTATCATCCTGGCTACTCAGGAAGCTGAGATCTGGGGATCACAGTTCAAGTCCCCGTGAGATTTTTTTTTTTTTGGGTCCGGTCGTGGGGCCTGAACTCTGGGCCTGGGAACTATCCCTCAGCTCTTCAGCTCAAGGCTAGCACTCTACCACTTGAGCCACAGTGCCACTTCCAGCTTTTTTCTTTTTTTTTTTTTTTTTGCTTATGTGGTGCTGAGGAATCGAACCCAGGGCCTCATGCATGCAAAGCAGGCGCTCTACCACTGAGCCACCTTCCAGGCCCCAAGATTCTTATCCCCAGTTAACCACTCAAAAACTGAAAGGAGAGCTGTGGCTCAAAGTGGTAGAGAGCTAACCTTGAGTAGAAATGCTCAGGGAGGGACACTTCCCAGGCCTTGAGTTGAAGCCCAACACCACACACACAAAAAAAAAAAAAAGAAAGAAAGAAAGAAAAAAAGAAATTGTTATACATGTTGCAACATAATAAAACTTGAAAACATTGTCTAGTAAGCACAAGGTCCTGAGTATTGCTAAAAATATTTTTTAAAAAGAATATATAAATTCATGGGGAAAATACTTGTAACATACAATTAACAAAGAACTTATACCCAAAATATGTAATAATTCTTACAATTTAATAAAAATGTAGGGGCTGGGAAGATGGCTCGGTGGTAGAATGCTTGCCTCGTATGCATGAGGCCTTGGGTCCGATTCCTCAATACCACCTGACGCAGAAAAAGCTGAAAGTGGCGCTGTGGCTCAAGTGGTAGAGCGCTAGCCTTGAGCTGAAGAGCTGAGGGACAGCGCCCAGACCCAGGGTTCAAGCCCCATGACTAACAACAACAACAAAAAAGCAAACAAAAATTTTTAAAGACTTGAAGAGGGACTGAAGGTACTAGTCAGTTTTCTCGCATGCTTGAGACCCTAGTTTCAATTCTAAGAACTACAAGAGGAAAAAAGAAAAGAAAAAGGAAAGAGAGGGGGGGAGGAAAAGTGAAGAAAGGAGGGAGGAAGGGAAGAAAATAAGAAGAGACATTATAAAAGGAGATATATGAAAACACATTTAAAAAGAGTTCAACATCAGTAGTCACTACAGAAATACAAACTAAAACCACAATGATCTAACACTCCACCCTACTAGAATGCCTAAAATAACAAGACAGCACCAAACGCTGAGACGGATGCCCACCTTCAGCTTTGCTGGAGAGAAGATAAAATGGCACAACCGCATTTGAATGACAGTTTTAGTTAAACTTAAATGTATTCTATGACTCAGAATTTCCGCTCTTGATATTTATTCAGGAGAAATGAAAACATTTATCCTCCAAAGCCTTGTACAGGGTGTCCACAGCACATTCACAGTGGTCCCAAGCTGGAAGTACCTTAAGTAGTCACCAACAGAGAAATAAACCATGGAATCTCCTCAGATTGAATGCTACTCAGCAGTAAAAAGGAACAAATTAGTATCAATAAACCTAAAAAATATTATGGTTAATATAAATTATAAAAATATAAAAATAATATGGCGAGCCGAGCGTGGTGGCTCACGCCTGTAATCCTAGCTACTCAGGAGGCTGAGATCTAAGGATCGAGGTTCAAAGCCAGTTGTGGGCAGGAAAGTTCATGAGACTCTTATCTCCAATAAGCCACTCGAAAACCGGAAGTGGTGCTGTGGCTCAAGTGGTAGAGTGCTTGTCTTGAGCTGAAGAGCTGAGGGATAGTGCCCAGGCCCAGATTTCAAGCCCCATGACCGACAAAAAAAATTTTTTTAAAGTGCATAGTCTATGGCTCCATTTACACAAAGTTCTAGAAAGGTAAACCTAACCTGAAGTAGTAAGTCTGAAGAGAGAAAAGTGGTTACTTTGGGGTGAGCTTGTTGGAGTTATTATCATAATAAGGGGTGGGTAGTCTACACGTATGTATTTGTCAAACCTGTTTGAAGTACACACCTTTCCATTAGCATACATTAGTTGTACAAGGAGTCTGTTCACTGTGTTCACTGTACATGTATGAAATATATATACACACTTTTTAAAATGGGCATACATTAATCATGCAATGGGGCTTCATACATGCATATGATCTTTGTTCAAATTTATCCCCTCCATTACTCTTTCTTACCACCCCCTCTCTACTTTTCAAAATAATCTTAAGGGCTTTGAAGTATACATTTAAGATCTGTATTTCACTTACAAAATTATATCAGGTTTTTTGGTTTTTTTTTTAAGAAAGAGAAGTGGTTGGTTAAAGGTGGTTTTAACATGCTGCCAGGGCTGGGAAGGTGGCTCAGTGGTAGAGCGCTTGTCTTGCATGCATGAGGCCCTGCGTTCGATTCCTCAGCACCACATAAGCAAAAAGAAAAAAGTCAGAAGTGACGCTGTGGCTCAAGTGGTAGAGCGCTAGCCTTGAGCTGAAGAGCTGAGGGATAGCGTCCAGGCCCAGAGTTCAGGCCCCACGACCGGACCCAAAAAAAAAAAAAAAGCACCATGCTGCCAAGAGCAGCACTGAGCAGAAGCCCAGCTCTACCCATGTTCACACTCACCCATGTTCACAGACACTGGAAAGCACTATGTAGCCAGCATATTACACAGCCCCTGTGTTGCTGATTCTCCAGACCTCTTTCCTCATCTGGAGTGTGCCTGGCCTACTTACAGCACAGCATTACAATCCAGTTGGGACTGCTCACATGGCAGTACTGGAAGGTTAAAGCACCGTGTGATGCTAGAGACAAAGACTTCCTGCCTTCTATGGGTCCTCAGGGCCACATACCCTATAGGGTACTCAATAGGGCCTTTCTAACACCTGTTTGGCTCCTAGAGAGTACTTTCTACCAAACCACTGCAACAGTACAACCTGCAAACTTACCTCAAAACTTTTTTCTAAGGCCTGTCCGCTAAATGCACGAATCCAACTATCATAACTTTAAATTATTACTACTAACAGGGTTATGGGAGAAAATTAAAAGTAAAGTCAGCAACCCTATCACCCATGAACTGGCCAAAGTTTTGGCATTTCAAAAGCATGTTCTGCACTTGCCTTCCATCTGCCTCCCGCCAGTAGGCAGGGAACTTTACAAGCGACCACCAAACAGCACAGGCTGATCTTTTTCCACTATGACATTCAGGCTCCTGTGGCCAGGCTATAGAAACCAGGCATCCATCTTGACACCTTTGGGACAGGACATGGCATCAGACAAGGCAACCAAAGTTCTAGGGTACCCTGGAACTAGCAAAGCGAACCCATCCAATGAAGAGGCACCAAGTCCTTCGTTCTCCGGTCTTCCTTAGTTCTCCAGGGACACCAGCACAAACAGCTGATTGGCTTACCTCTCGTTCGACCGTATCATGTAGTCAGTAAATTCATGGTCTCTCTTGATCACCATTAAGGGGACCACAAGGTTGACATCGGAGTCGGTGTTCCGCAGCTGGTTGAGTTTAATATTCACTGAGAAGAGGTATTCTCGCACATCATCTATACCCACTTTCAGGCCTTTGCACACCACATACCTGGCAGGAGACATTCCATTACTGCCTGGAGCAATGCCTCATCCCCACACATCCTTTCCCCTCCAGCCACCACAGAGTCACAAAGCTGAATAGCTTTCTGATCTTAAGTCTATTCTCTGTTGCAAACATTCACCTTAAACCCTTCCCTTTCACACAAGGTGAGAGGGATGTTTCCCAAGTGCCCTGTACTGGATGGGCAAGGGTCTTTAAATTACAGCCCTAAAAGACTACTCTCCAAGAATATGTGAAGAAATCTGTGGTTTTAACCAGCCATCAGGCAATTCTGACTGGAAATGTCCCACTTGGGCTGCCAGCAGGGCCTGTGAATGGCAGCGCTCTTGTCTGTCCCTAGCCCATGCTCCTCCAAGTGTCCCTGTTAGTGGTCATCTTTCCTGGACCAAGCTGAGAACTCCCACCTAAGTATGGAGAATAAGGCTTATCAGGAAGGAGGCAGAGACTGAACTAGTACAGCTCATGACCAGTTAGCTAGAAGAATGCTGGTTTCTAGGAGCTCTAATCATGACTCTAAAGTTTCTAACATAGCTTGGAGGTCATGTCAGTATGCAGCCCACTAGGACTTGCTGTTCTGATGGTTAGCGATGGCATCCAGCTACAGAGCAAGGAAGGCCTCACCGTTCTGAGTTGGCAGGACGGCTTGTAATGGGCTTGAAGAGACATACTCGTTCAAAGCAGCAGTAGAGCAGGTAGACAAGCCCCACACTGAATGGTGTGAAGAGGTCAAACGTTTTACAGATGAAGTGGCCTCCTAGATTAGAGAGAAAACAACCACAGTAGTCAGTGGAGCCACTCTAGGGGGTGGGGGAGGTACCCAGGGGCAATAAGAATGATTAAGACAAGGGGCCACACCTGGGTTCATTGGGTCAGAAACAGGTGATGGGAGAATCACCCTTCAAAGGACTTGGGGAAATTCCTCACTTACTCACCTGCCCCCTGACGCAAGGTTTGGTTTTACTAAAACTTCCCACCTGACCCCTGTACTCACTTGTCCCCTAGGGCCTTTAGTGGGTGTGGGATGAGGGGACAGTTGAGGAAGTGTCACCTGTACGGACAACAGACAGCGCCATGAGGAACTGACACAGCAGCAGCTGCTTGCTGAGGATTTCCTGCAAGTTCTCCTGCTCCTCCACAGAGAAACCCTGAAACAAGAGCGCCGCGATTGGGGTGGGACAGAAAAATGAGGACGGACACAGCACCCTACCATCCCCACCAACTGCTCAGGAAATGTTTGCCCTGACGCCACCATCTTCTCCGTGACAGGTGGCACGGAGACCAGGGCCTGGCTGACTGCTGGACCTGGGCTGCTTCCTGCTCTGTCACTCCGACCCCTCAGAGGGACAGGCCCAAGTCCGCTCTCTCAAGGAGATGGTCCAAAACGTCGTAAACGTACATGGGAATCAAGGCAGAACACGAACTGAAGTACCACCTAGTCATGAGCCAACCACAAATAGAAAACAGAATTGCCCGGAATGCCTGACACTAGCAAGACACAGTGTCCAGAAGACTGGTTGGGCTGTGACTAGTAAACAGAGAGAGGTTAACATTCTGATAGCCACAGTAATATCTCTCTCGTCTCCTCCCCACACTTCCCTTTCCCCTTCTCCTCTCCTCCTCTGCCCTGCCCTCCTCCTTCTCCTTCTCTGTCTTATTCTTGCTCTCTCACTCTCCAGCAAGGATTATTTCCCTACTATCCCCTACCCTGTCCTAAAGCCATCTAACCTAGTCCATGGGAATCTGCTCAAAGAACAAGTACTGCTCTTCCTAGAGGGTGTCTTTGTTGTGCTATGGCAGGGAGCAGGCAGTTGAGAGTCAAGCTATGTAGGGAAAAAAAAAAAAAAGCCAGGAGATGGGGAGGAAAAGGAAAGTTATTTAATAGGTACACTTTCAGTTTTGCAAAATTTAAAGTTCTGGAAATCTGTTGCACAACAGTGTGAATATACTTAGCACTACTGGACCATATACTCAATAGTTCTGATGATAAATATTTTGTTCCGTATTTCTTAAAATTAAAAAAAAGTTTTAAAAAAATTAAAAAGGAAGCTGGCCCCAAAAAGACTATGTCTCCCTCTCAGTCTTAAAAAAGCAATAGCTAAACAACGCAGAATCAAAAATGTTTAGCAGGGCTGGGAATGCATGAAGTCCTGGGTTCCATTACTCAGTACCACATACACAGAAAAAGCCAGAAGTGGTGCTATGGCTCCTTGAGCAAAAGAAGCTCAGGGACATTGCCCAGCCCCTGAATTCAAGCTCCAAGACTGGCAACAAAAAATGTTTAGCAGTGTTTCTCAAAAATACACATTTATTCATATATTTTTTATTTAAAAAAAAAAAAGCCCAGGTCTGGGCTCCCACTGCCAGTCCATTGCAGTGGCTGCCTCAGGGGTAGCAGACCCCACACCTGTCCAGTAGGGGCATCCTCACCCCCTTCCCATGCCATGCCTGTCCTGCTATCCTGTCCCGCTGTTCTCTGTGGTGCACCAAGCTCTAGGGAGTCAGAGTGTGTGAGACCCCTGACACCTTGCCTTCCTCCTTCTCAGAGGCCATGCAATGAGCTCCCAACGCTCTTCTCTAATCACATGGCCCAGGGGCAAGGACACACAATCTGTCCTTCGGCCAGAGTTCAGACATAGCTCATTCCTGGGAGGACTGCCTGCAATACAAGATCAGCAGGTGAGAACTGCTGGATGAAGCTGGAGCGAACTCCTTCAGTGGCTCAAGCAGCTGCTTAAGGACCAAACCAAACCAAACTCAAGCTTCTAAATCTGGAGTGGAGAGCCTTTTTCTCAACCAAGGGTCATTTGGATATTTATAATATCATTTGCAGGCCACAAGTAGCCAATGAGAAGCCCCAGCAGGCGCAAAATAATTTCATAGGTGTCATATGGCCTGTGGGCTAGACATTGCCCACTCCTGCTCTAAATTAACAAATCCCTAAAGTATCACTGTATGGAGAGAGTTCACCTACCCCGTCAGCCATCAGGAAGTGGACTCCCTTTCGATCTGTGTTATCCAGGACAAAATTCCGAAATGCAGTGATATTCTCCGGCCGGGTGATATCTCCATCTCCATCAATCCCACCCTCACCTGGCAGGACATAGATTCCTTGTGAGTTCACCCACCCTAAACACACCAGGAGCTAGAACATGAGCCTTCTGAGACAGTGGATGCAGATACCCAGAAAGTCTGGGAGAGGGAGATGGGGCAGGGCTTAGATTTGCTGCCAAATCACAACAATCAAGTCAGAGCAGACAGAGCAGAGGAACCGCTGGCCTGCTGAGCTGTCTGCTACCCAGTGTGTTCCACGTCCCTCATGCAGGGCTGGAGATGGGCATGTGGTTGCTATTTGTTAATAACCCTGCCAGTTCTCAGCCAGTTTCATTATCTGCTGTCACCACATGAGAAGAGTGCTCCTGTAAGGAGGAATTAATATGGCTTTGATGAGAGTTTGGCTAGTGGAGTGTTTAACCTGAATTCTGCAGTCCTGTTATAAAATGGGGCAGTCCAGAGAGAACTAAGACCCTCACAGCAGAGACTGTGAACCCCAGGCTAAGAAACCTAGGGAGAAACACAAGGCACGTGGGTAACAGGTGCCATGGGTAAGCTGGGTAACTTCTTTTGTCCTGTGCTGTCCCTTGTACCTCTGCCTGTTCAGAGCTCATACCGTAATAGGGCTCGAAGAGCTCACTGGAGGCTGAGTAGAAGTCCTCCAGTTTGAAGTCATTAGGCCCCTTCAGAGTCATCCCGAAGCCCTTCGCATGCCATTTCTTCCTCCACAGCACATACTCTGAGAAGCCTCCCGGGCCTGCGCAGACATCAGCAAAGTAGAGAAGCTCAGGCTCCCGGTCCTTCACTAGTTGCTTCTGTAAGGGAAGCAGAAGAAACAGAGATGAGGAGAGAGATAGGGAAGGAGAATGGGGGTGGGGTGGGTGGGAACTAAGCCTTCTCTTGTCAAGGCCATAACACCTAAGATGCCTATCTTCTGTGAGCATTGCCCTCTGCAGTCTCCTAAGCAAACCCTTAATCCCAAGGCCTTTCATATCACTAGGCCTAGCTCAGATGCTTAATAAAAACATCTCCTACAACCAGGAGCTAGAGGCATGAGGATCGAAGTTCAAAGCCAGCCTGACAGACAAATCTTTGAGATTCTTGTCTCCAACTAGTCACCAAAAAGCTGGAACTGGAGAAGTGGCTCAAGTGGTAGAGTACTAGCACGGGTGGGGGGTGGGGGTGGCCGGAGGACAGCAAAATAAGAGCTCAAGGTCAAGTACCAGTACCAAGACAAAAACAGATGAAGAGGGGGAACAAATGCAGCAGTGGTACTCTCTAGATACTATGTAGAAAATGAAATATCTAACTTGTGGGTGGGGATAGGAGGGAAAAACTGGGAGAAAAAAAAAACTGGGAAGAAAGTAACACTATCCAGAAAGAAATGTACTAATTACCTGACTTATGTAACTGTAACCCCTCTGGCATATCATCTTTATAACAATTTAAAAATTTAAAAATGAGACAGATGCCGGTGGCTCACACCTGTAATTCTAGTTACTCAGGAGGCTGAGATCTGAGGATTGCAGTTCCAAGCTAGCCCAATAAGGAAAGTCCCCATGAGACTCTTATCTCCAATGAACCACTCAAAAACCACAAGTGGAGTTGTGGCTCAAAGTGGTAAGGCACTACCCTTGAGCAAAAGAGCTCAGGGACAGCTCCCACGCCCTGAGTCCAAATCCCATGACAGACCAAAATAAAAATAAAAAACAAAAAACTCATCTCCTTGAGGTATCCGAGTGGCATTTTTACTTCTCAGGGTCTTTTCCTCACCATATTTTGCCTTTCATGAATACTTCCAAGAAAAGTAGGTGCTGCATGCCCTCATTATAGGTAGGGGAAAAGAGATACTAAGACATAAGCACCCTGTCCACAGCCAGCCTGCAACAAAGCTAAACTAGAATGCAGGCACTCTGACTCTGCCCTTCCTGTTCAACCAAAGTCTGGGGGCTCTAACATCAGCCATTCTGGCTTTCTCCTTAGCTCTCTCAACTACTGTTTCCAATTAACTTATTTTAGAGTAATTTCTGATCTACAGAAAAGTACCAAGATAGATATCTGCACCCTTCACCAAGTTGCCACTTTTGTCAACATCTCACATCATCATGATACGTTTGTCAAAACTAAAAAAACAGCATTGGTACATTACTGTTAAAATTCCAACTTCATTCAAATCTCACTAGCATCCTTTTTCCATTCCAGAATCTGATCCAAGGCCCCACATCACCTGGGATCTCCCTGTCCTCCCCTGCACTGGTCTACACCACAGGCTGTACTCTCTATAACAAATGCTACAGCTGCTCTGACCTACTCTTGAACCCAGACGATGAACTCCACTGACGTATCACGAAAGCCAGACCATCTGCACTGGGACAACAGAGTAAGCTCCAGGAGCGAATGACCACAGAGGATGAAGATGCCCAGGGACCCCTGCCTTCCTTCTCCAGAGGGTTGCTATGACTGACAGCTTGTCCAGAATTCTGCAACTGCTAAAGATCAAGAAGCTTTAAGTTACAAGAAAGAGACATACAACATGCTCAAAACCAGTCACTTCTAGGTGACAAGGAGCTTGCCTCTGATGACGGCTATCCAATTTTATCAAAACAGCAACTGTGGCTAAAAATAACTTAATCATCCCGTGACAAGCCCACTCCAGGTATGCTAGGGTATATCGGTTCTTTCCCAGCTTCCTTACTACTCTGCCCCAATAGTCTTTGTTCCTGATCCACTAATTATTCCTATTTTTGGATTATATTCATCTGTGCACTTGCGCGCGCACACACATGCACACACAGATGTCATGGCATTTCATCATAGTGGCGAGGAAACGGGTCACAAATTCAAGCCCTACACACACTGCAAAGAACAATGTTCTTGGCCCTGGAAAGGCTTGGGCCATGGCTCTAGATTAGTCTGGAAGGGCAGTGACTGAATAAGAGCTTCTCATCTCTTCTACCAACGTCTAAATTCTGCATGATTTCAAAATGAGGGCCTTCACGAGTCATAACTAGGAGTCTGTTCATAGAAGACAGCCAGGGTTCTTGGTTGTCACTGACTGTGCAAGTCAAAGACAGGCACAAAATTTAAGTCAGCAAGCTTAAGCTCCCTGAAAGGGATTTACTTCTCAAGGCTGTTGGAGGATTAAATAAAGTATCCTATCACAAAGGTCTTTCTAAACCATAAAATATACGCAAATGTAAGATGATATTATATTTGACTAGATCCACTTCCCTGGGGTCCAAACTCTTGTCCTCTCCATATCTTCCTCCGCCAAGTGTAGTATTCCACACAGAGTACACTGTACATGCTGCCTAATTTTCCCTAAGACAGGACTGAAACAAAGAGCTATACTTTTTGTCCTCTGTTACACTTCAATGTTTTCTCACTAAGCAACATCCCTGGACACACAAATCTCTCACATAATGTGACAGTTTATAATGTTTCCATATACCCCAAGGAGATAAATTCTCTTCTTTCTCTTGTTGCTTCCAATTTCACTCTTGTCCTCTCTAGATCCTTGTCTCCTTTTCACAATAGCCTATAGCACCAGAGGCCTAGTTTACTTACACACACACACACACACACACACACACACACACACACACACACACACACACACACACACACACACACACACATTCTCTACAATACTCCAAAACTCAAGTTCTCTCTTAGTCTATAATTTGCTTGATCTAAGAGTCCCAAGACCCTAGCAAGCCTGAATGGTGCCTGGGCCTCTGGGCACTCCTACCTCTGCTGGGTGTCTGCTGTGGTGTCTGTCTGCTAGCCTGAAAAAAAAAAATCACACCAAGCTGAGCCTACTGGGCTTGGCTGTCACTCTGATCCTCAGGGGAAAATGGAGGTGAAGAGAAAGAAGAAAACACCAGGGATTCAAGAGAAATCACTTTTTATAGTGGGAGTGCAGAGAAGCATCTCTGAAAGGGCAATTCTCCATGGCCACTAGCAATCAATTCAGGTCAAGAGGCTGCCTGAAGGAGAAGGCAGCATTATAAACCCAGCTGCTTTTTCCTACATAACTACCCTCTCCCTCTGACACCTGAATGGTACAGTCCTGGTGTCTACTTCATTTTCATGACAGCCAAAGACAATAACCAGATACCAGCTGCTGGAGGCGTTTACATTCAAAAGCTCAAAATGACATCGAGACTTCCCATCAGCTTAACAGAGTTCCTCTCCAGGCAGGGGTCTAAAGGAAATCATTGGGAGCTCAGAAAATTAAATCAACATTATATCAACCTAATTTTCTCAAGATGCTAATTCCAATATCCCTTTTATGCTGCCTGCTGGTCCTGGAAAATGGGGAGAGCACCCTAGGAGATAAAAATGAGTAAAGGCTAGAGGGGCCTCCATGCCAGTGCTGTCAGCATGGAACAAGTTGCTAGGCAGAGGGAGATGAAACATTAAGAAACTTGGAAATAAGTTTCTTCAGCTGGTAGGTAACCGGAGGTTCTGGTGCAATGAAGGTGAGAAAAGCAGAAACAGGTTCGGGAAAAAGCTGGCTCTGGCCTGCCATTGTCAAAGAAAAACTAACCTTCTAGAACTAGGGAAATGCTCTGAAACTCTAAAGGCAACTCTAGAGTGAAGTCTCCATTTTTGCTTTCTCTGTCATTACTAGGTGTCCGTGTTCAGAGAAACGAAATACAGCAGAACAGAAAATCATCTTAATCACAGAAGGGGTGACACTGACCAAGATTCACTACACTTATGAACTGATTTGTTGAACTGAAACTTCTTTTATAACTACTAAAAGATAATAGTAATAACAATAATATAAAGAGAATCATCTTTCTCTATGACTTCTTGAGACAGACCAAAAACTAATCATAATCCTGCGCAAAGCTTGTTCAGAGGGGTAGAGAGGGAACGTGGCCCCACTAAAATTAACAGATCTTAGTGCAGTTCTAGAGCCTTCTACAAACCAGAATACTCCTGGGACCATGGGAAGCACTGAGGGACTCTTTCAGGGGAGCACAGAGCAGAAGAAATACTCTCACAGTGAACAAATTACAATTTCTGAGCTGGTGAAGCTTAAGTCTACTCAGCACCACAAATTCTCACCCCATAAGAGTCCCGAGGATTTGTAAACATGCGATCGAACACAAAATCCATGTTAGCCATCTTCATCGCTGCCCTGAAACACAGCAAGATAGAAAAGTGTGATTCAGTTCTAGGTGTAAAGAAAGCTGAGGATCAAAGGAAAGGCAGAGCAGTGCATGCTGGGAGGGAAGGGAACGAATGGCAAACCTGTTGAGGAAGAAGACTCCTCGGATCATCTCATAGGGATTGGCCCTGGTCCGAGCTCGTCGCATCTCCTCTCCATCCAGGATGTCAAACACACTCTGCCCAAAGAGAAACAAAATTCTCCAGGTAAATGCTATCCCTATACCTGTCCTGAGACAGGACAGGGGTATCAAGATACACAGCCCTCCAAGAAGTCACGCTCCTGCTCATCTCAGCTTCGAAAGGACCAATGGTGTTACCCTAGACAAGGTGCTCAGTCACTGTAACCCTCCACCACAAAACAAAGCAGAGCAGGTGCCTGCCATGCAGTAAGAGATTAAAACATAGCACATCTCACTGCACACAGAACCACCTTTCTGACAATGCTAATTCCTATAGCAATGATTTCCCCACACAAGCAGCAACTTTCCAGTGTATGCAGTCTGACATCCTTGACCTTGGCTCAGATACAGAGAAGGAAACACACCAAGAACAGAATTTCAAGTGCATCCACGCATACACAGAGAGACCCTTCTGCCCTGTAATTTCCTTCTCCAACTTCCTTACTTAACCTGGGATCCAGTCACCTTATAGTCTCAACTCTAACAAAAATAACCACTGTGAGACTGCTGTGAAGCCTTCATTCTTCCCCAACCCATCTCCTCCTCAATTTCTCTGGTTCATTCTATCCTCGGAATGTGTTTCACAATTAACAATCAAGCCAGAAAAATGTCAATGGGACACCAACATTTATCCAGCTACTATACATCCTCTATTTCTCTTAACTCTCACAAGCATCCGGAGAAGTATTTTCTCCCATTTTATAGATACAGAAACAAGCTCCACGACTCTGAAGCAAATGGCCCCAAGTTGCGCGCGCACACACACGCATGCATGCACGCACGCTAAATAATGACTCAAAGTATTTGGCTATACCGGGCACTTGAGGAATTACAGTGAATTTATCCACTGAGATAAAGCAAATCCTTTCCTGCTACTGAATCCTGCTAACAGCACAACACTAAAAGACTATAGAGGTAAGGAGATGGCATAAGGATGTTCTTCAATAGAGGATTGGAAGGCAAGGAAGAGAAATCAAGAGAGAAAGAGAGTCTTTTTGAGCAAATATAATGTATCCATGTTTGAAATACCATAGTAAAATCCCTTGGTGTGATTAATACACAATGACAAAAAAAAAAAGACATTTAAAGCTGGACATTGGTGGCTCACACATGTAATCCTAGCTACCCAGAAGGTGATATCTGAGGATAGTGGTTCAAAGCCAGCCCAGGCAGAAAAGTCCACGAGACTCTTATCTCCTGTAAACCACTCATTAAAAGCCAGAAGTGGCACTGTCACTCAAGTGGTAGAACACTACCCTTGAGCACAAAGAGGCTCAGAGACAGTACCCAGGCCCTGAGTTCAAGCCCTAGGACCATCAAAAGAAAAAGACATTTAAGTAAAATAGGCTCAGATGTAGGGTTTAACAGTGAGAGGTAGGAAGCCAAAAAAAAAAAGGAGGTGAATGAGGATGAATATGACTCACGTAGTTTATTTGCATATACGAAAATAGAACAATGAGCTTTCTGAAATTGGTTTAAGAAGAGGGAGTGGGTAGAGGAGAGTGATGGAGGGATAAGTACATTTTGTTCATATGTATGGAAATGCCACAAGGAAACTTCCCTTGTACGACTAATGTGGGATGATCATATCATTACAAGGCCAGACAGTCATGAGGGAAAAGTAACCACACAACCTCAAAGACACATTCTAACTTACATTCCTGATTTAAAAAAACAAAAACCAAAAAATTCAATCTCAGCCTCATCACATTGACTCAAATGTAGTGTTGGGAAAGCCTAGCTAAGTATCTCCCACGAGGGTTTTACCTCTGGTTCCAGCCACAGGCCTCACCTTACACTGTAGCACACTGTGAAGCAGCTCTTCTCCACAAAACTCTGTTTCATCTTCAATAACCATCTTTCTCTACAGGGGAAGAAAAACAATGTCCAAGTGTGACAGTGTATAGGGTCAGGGTGAATGGATGAATCAGGGTTGGGAGTGAGCAGAGCAAGAAGAGGCTGGAGTCCCTGCCAAGAAACATCAATCCCTGAAGGGCAGGAAAGAGACAATTCTAAATCCCTCTGGCTGTACTCCAGATGGCTTCAAGATGAAGCAGGCCCCTGGGAGCTCTGAGTAGAGCACCATATGGAAACAAGACACACAAATGCTGAGCCTGGGAAAAGCAAACAGGAAAGAGACTTGCAAACTGTCTGCCCTGAAAGGAAGGCAGGATGGGTGTTGCCCAAATGACATAAGCATGTCCTTCAGCTAGGAAGCCTCTCACTCAGAGGAGGACAAATGCTTGATACCAGGATTCAAAGGGCCTTGTGGAATGTCAGATCCCGCCCTACACCCAGGGTGACTACCTCCACTACCTGTGAACCAATGATGGTCAGCTGGGCTCTCAGGCTTGAGTTTTTTTTGTTTGTTTGTTTTTGTTTTTTTTTGTGGGGCTTGAATTCAAGGCCAGGACACTTGCTCTCCTTTAACTTTTTCACTCAAGTTAGCACTCTACCACTTGAGCCATGCTTCTACTTCCAGCTTTTTGATGGTTAATTAGAAATAAGGAGTCTCACAGACATTTCTGCCTAGGCTGGCTTTGAACTACCATCCTTAGATCTCAGCCTCCTGAGTAACTTTAAACTTTAAACTCTTCAGAATCATTAACTCTGCTGGAGGGATGCAGCTCAGTGTCAGAGTGCTTGACTAACATGAGATCCATTATTAGCACTGGAAAACAAAAGCAAAACACTGATATCTGAGTTAGACATATAGATATCAATTAATTAAAAGAAACTGAAACAGGGCTGGGAATGTGGCTCAGTGGTAGAGTGCTTGTCTAGCATGCATGAAGCCCTGGGTTTAATTCCTCAGTACCACATCAACAGAAAAAGCTGGAAAAGGCGCTGTGGCTGAAGTGGTAGAGTGTTAGCCTTGAGCACAGAGAGGCTCAGGGACAATGCCCAGGCCCTGAGTTCAAACCCCAGGACTGGCAAAAATATAAAGGAAAGAAGGAAGGAAGGAAGGGAAGGGAAGGGAAGGAAGGAAGGAAGGAAGGAAGGTAGGAAGGAAGGAAGGAAGGAAGATTGAAACAGAAGTTTCTTAATTCAGTTTAAAAGAGCAATGTAACCTAAATCATTTTATTAAAAAAATGGGCTGGGAAGGTGGCTCAGTGGTAAAGTTCAATTCCTCAGCACCACATAAGCAGAAAAAGCCGGAAGTGGCACTGTGGCTCAAATGGTGGAGTGCTAACCTTGAGCTGAAGAGCTGAGGGACAGCACCCAGGCCCAGAGTTCAGGCCCCATGACCGACAAAAACAAAAACAAAAAAAACATTATTTGCAAAGACAGTTTAGTGAGTCATTCTTTTTTTGGTCCGGTCGTAGGGCTTGAACTCTGGGCCTGGGCGCTGTCCCTCAGCTCTTCAGCTCAAGGCTAACGCCACAGCACCACTTCCAGCTTTTTTTCTTTTTGCTTATGTGGTGCTGAGGAATCGAACCCAGGGCCTCAGGCATGCAAGGCACGCTCTACCACTGAGCAACCTTCCCAGCCCCCTCTATTTTCTATTTTTGTAAATCTTTTCAATATCTAGCTGACTAGAAAGGCAGCTAGACACTCTTCCCTGCTTTTGTATCTCGATCACATGTAATATAAAATGCCACAGCCTCTAGAAAACTCCACTGGACACTTATGGAATAATGAAAGTGATGAGGTGCATAACTTTTTCAATATCATTTTGAAGATAACTTTAACTGTGTGGATCACCCTGAAAGGGTACTGGTGATCTGAGAAGTGTGCTCTAGACCACACTGATTTGGTAGCCATCTACTTTATCCTTATGTATGGCCATTCCCTCATTACTTACTGATGACAGAAACAGTCTTTTTATCTTACCTGGATCAGTGCCCACAATGACCAGAACATACCCAGACACATAATAGGTCACTCCAAGAAACATTCACAAGGAAGAGATAGAGGTTAAACACTTTGTCTGCCTTGAAAGTTAAATGTCTAAGGGAAAAACCAGTCACCACAACTCCCAGGGGCACATTTGTAAAGCACTTGACACAACCTTGTGACATAGCTCTACTCCTTTCAGAGTGGTCAGTTGCACATCTTTCTTAAAACTGCAAATCTACATACACACTGGGCTCAAGGAGAAGAGTCAAGAAAGTGCTAAGAATGAGGGGTGCATTTTCCTGAAATCTTACCTCTCCCACAACCATCCAATCACTCATTTCTTGAGTGTCAGGAATTTCAGTGGTACATTCTGGGAACCATGATACCTGTTCACAGGCACTGGGCTACAAAAAAAGAGAAGCAAGGTCAGGTAAGACCCATGGGGCTCCAGCTCACCAGAACCTCTCCAAAATAATCAATGGTCTCAGACAGAGATGCACCCAAGTTGCTGAAGCAATAGTCAAACGTGAGGTGTAAAAGCTCCAATCCTGTAGTATGACTTCTGAAGGCCAGCTCCAATTCTGCTGTGTCCTTTGTGAGTATGTTGTGTGGTAGTGGGGCTTGAACTCAGAGCTTGGGTACTGTGCCTTTTTTTGTTGGTGGTGGTGATGATGGTGGTCATGGGGCTCAAACACAAGGCCTGGGCACTACCCTTGAGCTTTTTCACTCAAGGCTAGTGTTTTACCACTTTGAGCCACAGAGCCACTTCCAGTTTTCTAGTGATTAATTGAAGAGTCATGGACTTTCCTGCCCAAGCTGGCTTCAAACCACAATCCTCAGATCTTAGCCTCCTGAGATTACAGGTGTGAGCCACCTGTAATCTGAACCACAGCTTCACTTCTGGCTTTTTGGTGGTTAATCAGAGATTAGAATCTCATGGACTTTCCTGTCTGGGCTAATTTTGAACTATAATCCTAAGATTTCAGCCTCCACTGTCTGGCCTCGGGTAAATCCTCTAGAAATTTCCAAGTCTTGAAGATTTCTTTTGTTTGTTCCAATCTTCTTCTATTATTAGATTATCTTTAAGTAGTTGTACAAAGGAGTTGCCAATTAACAAAGCAGTTTATGAATACAATGCATCTTGTTGTCACCTCTTTCAACATTCTCACCCATCCCTTTGAAGCCAACCCTTCCCTCACTTTGCTTAATTTTTGTAGAATATACATTGACTTATTTCATGAATACCTACTATGGGTAAGTGCTTGGAAATGTCAAATTAAACTAATATATCTCTGCTGGTTGTTGGTGGTTCTCACATGTCATCCTAACTACTTAGGAGGGTAAGATCTGAGGATCTTACCAGCCCAGGGAAGGAAAGCTAGCCTTGAACAAAAAGCCCAGGGATAGTGCCCAGGCCTTGATTTCAGGCCCCAGAATCAGCACATACACACACAAAATAAGCTCAGAGACAGTGGCCCAGGGCCCTGAGTTCAAGCCCCAGGACCAGGGCGCACACATGCGCACAGCCACCTCCCTCCACCCCCCCCCAAATTACTGGTTCTCTTTTGGCTCATACATATTAGGATCTCTTACAGAGCTTCTAAAAAGAAATGAGGCCAGTAGCTCAACCCTGAAATCCTAACTATTCAGGAGGCTGATATCTAGAGGAGCATGATTCAAGGCCAGGCCCAGTGAAAAAGCCATGAGACTCTACTTCCAAAATAATGCTGGCTGAAGGTGTGACTCAAGTGGTAGAATAGTACTAAACAAGCAAGTTGAGCAAGTGTGTGAGGCCCAGCGTTCAAATACCTGTACTAGCAAATAAATAAATAAAAAACCCTGAAGCCTTGGCCCCATTTCAATAAGATTATGATGGCCTAAAGTAGGAACTGAAAATGTATTTTTATTTGTTTTGGTTTGGTTTTGTGCCAGGACTGGGACTTGAACCTGGGGCCTCACATTCTTGCTTTTTTTCTTCTTTTTTTTGCTCAAGGCTGGTGCTCTATTTGAACTATACCTCCAATTCTAGGTTGGCTAGTTAACTGGAAGAGAGTCTCATGCCTGGAACTGGTGACACATGCCTGAAATCCTAGCTTTCAGGAGGTTGAGACCTAGAGGATTGAGATTTAAAGCAGAAAAGTCCGAAGGAGTCTTTCTACAATTAACCCAAAAAATGCCAGCCTAGAAGCATCGCTCAAATGGTAGAGCACCAGCCTTGAACAAGAATGCTGAGTGAGAGTGTAAGACCCTGAGTTAAAGCCTTTGTACCAGCATCACCACCCCACCACCTAGCCCCAGCCTCCATCAAAAAAGCCCCTAGCTGACTAACTGTGCATTCAGGGTGAAGTACCACTGGACTAGACAAACATGGATTATAAAACCTAACTAGGTGACTACCCTGCGTGGTAGCTTCACAAACTGCCTCCAGAGCAAGTCAGAGCAAGTGTGGAGAAGAGATTCACCATTGCAAATTGAAGCAATGTGATTAAAGCTAACATTACATGCTCTAAAAGGCATAAAACTGTATCACAGTGTAAGGTCTTGAGGGAAGCCAACCACCATCATCAAAGAAAAGGTTGAAAAGAAAATTACTGAAGGCTTTTGTCCATGAATCTAGCAGTAAATCATGGTTTCTTCCCCTGGCCAAATCCATCACCCTTAAGCATACATGTAAATTATAAATTATAGAAAACAAGATGCTCATATACACATAGGATGTTATTTTGTTAAGCAAAAGCAGAGTCAATCTCCCCATCAAAGGCTGTCCATTAAGGCTACCTGCAGAGCAGACCTCGCCCAAAGCCTCAGATCTTGAATTCCATAATACTGGGCTCTAGCCACCACTGATTACTTTCCCTACAGTGACTCCAGGAGTAGACAATCACCTCAACCCACCCAGACTCATCTGCCTTAAAGAAATAGCTACCAATGACTGGCAGAATCAAACTCTATTCTAACAGGAACAGCCTCACCAAAAAAAGGAATTTCAATCACCTATCCCCATTAAGAAGGAAGATTTAATGAATAACATTTAGATTGGGAATTTAATGAAGTTCATTCAAATTTTCCTCAGTGAAAGGATCAGGGACTGTAAGTACTTGTTCTAACAGAAGTGAGTATGAGGAAAGTGTGAGGTATTTCAGAGGCAAGAGCCTATACCTAGCAAATGATTACAAGTCTTTGCCCTGTTCTGCACTGTTTCATGCACTGGTCTCATCTGCAGCCATGAGGAAGCAGAGCGAGACCACCTCTGGACTTGTTAGCTCCTGGCTTGTCTTGAGCCTTACTCTGAAGGCTTATTAGACTCACATCGTGCATCAATTCATATACTTCTTTCCTGAGCTGTAATATCAGGGAGACAAAAACAAAGCCGTTTTTCAGCATTCAGAACCATACTTGAAACAACTATATAGTAGGTTAGGATATCTGTGCCTTATTTTCTCTAATCTTGACTCAGTAATATCTCACCATGATTTTAAGTGCTTTTATTATAACTATTTCAAACACTTTGTGAACTAAGTAGGGTATTAGTTAATATCAAATCTAAACACTATCTATCCCATAAACAAGGATCTAGACTGTTTTTAATCTTACAACAAATTGGACTCAAGTACATAAACAGACTAAAACCACAACAGAAAAGCTACACAGAAAAGGCAAATACCACGGAGCAGAAGTGGCTCACACCTGTAATCCTAGTTACTCAGGAGGCTGAGGTCTGAGGATCGCAGTTCAAAGCCAGCCCAGGTAGGAAAATCCGTGAGACTCTTATCTCCAATGAACCACTAGAAAACTGGAAGTGGTGCTATAGCTCAGAGTGGTAGTGCTCTGGTTTTGAGTGAAAGAGCTCAGGGACAGTGCCCAAACCCTGAGTTCAAGCCCCATGATTGACCCCTACCCCTGCCCCCCCAAAAAAGTTTAGAACTTGTGGAGGTGGAAAGATCTCAGATGGTTTCTTTTTTTTTTTTTTTTTTTTGTCTTTTCTTTTTTGGTACTGGGGATTGAACCCAAGACGTTGCACTTGCTAGGCAAGCGCTTTGCCACTGAGCTACATCCCAGCCCTCAGATGGTTTCTAATACAATGAGAGCGGGTGCTCACTTGGCCTCCTTGAATCTTTTCAGCAGAGAGAGCGTCACCTTGACAGCTTCCTATTCTATTAGTGGAAAGTTGTACCTATTTATTAAACTTCTCTGTGGAGCTAAACTCTGCCTTGGAGTATCTTTTGCTTATAGATCTTAAGAGAGTCCTAGAAAGCAACAGACAGCAAAGATAACCTAGCCTTATGTCCTGATCTTCTAGTACCTTCCATTTAAAGTACTAATTCCAAACCCCAATAATCACCAGTTCCAACCCCCAATAATTACCCTGTTCATACTGCCTAAGGACTACTGCTTTCATAAAGCCACACACCCAAGTACACCAGTGGCCCTCCTGTCTCCACACCTCCCACCTCTGCTCGCCAAAGCCACACATCCAAATACACCAGTGGCTCTCTCATCTCCCCTGCCTCACCAGCTACCTCTGGCTCATCCCGCCAGTCCACGTTCAGCTCCTGATCAAAGCCCTGCAGGGTCAGACCCAAGCCTCTTCGACCTTTCTGATTAGAGGCCTCGACGATGTCCTTCCGACCCTGACTGTATTTGCCCAGTCCTTCGCCTTCCCTGAATCCCATCTTGGCCTGAAAAAAAGAGAACAGAACACAATTAGTTCAGTCCAACAGACAATTATTTAGCCTCTATCACGACCAGACATTGTAATAAACTCTGAGAAAGTTTGCCTTCTAACTGAATGAAGAAAAGCACAAACAGCTGTAGATCCTGTGACTGACTATTCTGCAGGTGAAAGTCTAGGGCAACCAGAAATTAGATAAATGAGAAGGGACTGCACAGCTGTAATTAAAAGCACCAAAAGTATTTAACGAATCTCACTGGACATCTGCACAACTTCCCCTTCCAGATCATTTGTCTGATTAAGGGAAAAGTAGATCCAGAATAAAGTTGATAAAGAGAATTTCAAATGTAACAGCTTCAAGCAGTAGTGGCTTCAACCTTCTCTCTTAGCCAAGTAACCTTAATAGGTAAAGACAATGAAGGCTTTCAAGAGACCCCTTCTTCAAGGGATTAACTGAAAACTGAAGTATGCAGAGTACTACAAATCCCAGGAACAGCAATCCTTTTCTGTGGCTGCTGATACTGGGACTTGAACTCAGGGCCTTGAGCATTTGCTTGGCTTCTTCACTCAAGGTTAGTGGCTCTACCTCTTTAGCCTTTTGGCTAGTTAACTGGAGATGGGTCTCACAGACTTTCCTTCCTGGACTGGCTTCAAACCATGATCCTTAGATCTCAGCCTCCTGAGTAGTTAGGATTACAGGCAAGAGTTGCCAGCAATACTTTTTAAAAGTCTACAATTTCACACTAAACTCTGGAATTATGGGTTCCGGGTACATACCTAAGGACCAGAAAGACCCAAATCTCTAATCTCACAGACTCTTAACTAATCAAAGACCTCTAATGCAGAGATCTAATTCCTCCTGGAGGGCCTATATCCTCTTAGACAGCACCAATATGTCAGCTGTGAGCTAGTAGGGATCTCTAAATAACCATAAATCCTTCTTCCAGCTCAGAGGCTCAGTCACAGGCTCCCCATCTCCCACCTCCCAAAACTTCGTGGCACCCAAACCAGAAACATGACCTACAGCTTTAGCAATGGCAATTCTCAACTCTTGAAGCCAAGAGAAAATAGAGGAGTCAACTGTGATGTTCTGGAAGGTAGATGGAAACAAACTTGGACTCCTAAACTGCACAATACACTAAATTTTGATTAGAAAGTAAATGGTTTCCCTATTCTTCTTCCTTCTTGTACTAGATCAGTGGTTGTGAAAGTTGAGACAGAGAACTGGGCCTTCTTTGGAAAAGATCATGCTGCTCTTCTTTATGTTAGTGCTAAGGAGTGAACAATCTAGTCATTTCTTTTGACATCAAGTCATTTACTAGAGCAAAACTCACAGCATGAAGCCTCTTTATACACTGAGATATATCCATGTTTGGGGGAATATTTCACATGTGTTTGTATAAGCAATTCAGTAGTAAAAAGACCAGAAAGTGGTCCATTTCTGGACGGACCTGGAGAAACGGGCACTTTCTGTGGATGATCCCACTATGACAGACACTTCTATCAGGAAGGGAACTAAAGTCCCTGCTAAATTTTGGCAGCTAAAAAACAGAGACAAAAATATCCATGCTCTAGTTTTCCTTTTCCCTCTACTCTCCTGGGTTGCTGTAGAAAGTTTACAAAGCACTGCATACCATGAGCTTCTGGGAGAAACTATTATACATAGAGTAGCGGGAAGATGTTCCCTCCACCAGGGAGTCTGCTTTGAATGCATCGTCCGAAGAGGTGGAGCCGGGCTGCTTCCCTTCAGTCTCACTGTCAGACTCACTAAGGCTTGTAACCGATGCTGGAAAAGAGAAAAGAAAGTGTTTCAATGGACTTATAACACAAAACAACCTCCAGAAGTCCAAGTTTCACTTAGTCAACTTACTCGAGTCCAAGTATACGAACTGCTTTCAATGAAGGCAGTGACCGCGGGTCAAATCTATTGTCTACTTCTCACTAGCTATGTAATCTTAGGCAAGTCACAAAGGGTTCCTAATAGCACTTGACAATGAGAGTTCAAAAATAAGTTTTCCTCTCCCATCTTTTGACTTGATCTCCACTGTAAAATTGGGAAGATAATACTTAACAGGGTTGTTTGAAGATTAAATAGTGTCTGTGAAAGTACAATGTCAAATATCATCTACTTCTTGAACATATATTGTCATTTCCAGTGCTACTGTTTATAACTTAAACATCAGTTTCTAAATATTCATTTTCAACAACTCCATCAGCAGACTACTAGTGTCTGGCTGTTTCATCTCCTCCGAATTCAGTCTCTTTGCTTTAATAGTCCTTCAGACGTACAGTCAAGAGGATGAGTGCACCTTGCAAATGCACAGAAAAGCTAGCTCACAGAGACATGAAGAAAGAGGAAAGAGGGCAAGGCAGTGAAAGAGGAAGAGGATATAAGAAAGGAAGGGAACAGAAGCTTCCAAAAGAGCCACCAACTGGAGTGGAGAGCAGAAGAGATGTAGCTAAGGAAGAGCTGGCAGCCCGAGCAAGCAGAAATATTGTCTTGTCAATAACCTAGTTTTTTTTAATTTAAAAAATAAAGCAAGTAAGACACACCTCAGCAGCTGCTACACATGATGGGCTACCTGTCCCTTGGTCTATGACAACCTCTTTCCCTCCTTTATGTAGATAAATGAATCTGCTAACCTGAAAGTTACTTCAACCCAATGTAATATTTTCTGTGCTGGTACTGGAGCTTAACTTTGAGCCTAGCAGTCTCCCTGAACGTTTTTTCACTCAAGGCTGGTAGACTAGCACTTGAGCCATGCTCCACATCTGGCATTTTGATGACTGACTGAAGATTAGAGTCTCGCAGGCTTTTCTGCCTCAGATGGCTTCAATCATCGATCCTCAGATCTCAGCCTACTGAGTAGCTAAGATTACAGGCATGAGCCTCCAATGCCTAGCAATCCAATGTAATTTCATTCAGGGGGTTTCTCAGATAACCAGCCTGAATTTGGAAACAGACCATATCTCAAAAGTTCAATGCACAATTTCTACATATTCCCATTGAAACTGGAAAGAATTGTAAACCAGGAGGAATGTAGAATAGGAAAGGAAGGGGTAGTCTTTGATTCCAAGGCATGAGAAGTTCAACTACCTCACAGCATACTGCTTACTCATATGTAACTGTAGCTTTCTAAAAATACAATGATTTTTTAAAATTTATGTTTGTCATTCATTCAAGTGTTTTAATGTTTTAGGATAAACATTTTTGTCATTTGAATTTACAGAAATCATCTGTACTGTGAGATTTTTTTTTAAAGGGGGGGGGGGGGCAGGAGAGAACACTAAGAACTTTTTACCAAGAAACCTGAGGCATGAGAACACCAGCTACCTACTTTGAAACAGATCATGAAAACAAGACTTGAAAAAAGTGATAGCCGGGTGCTGGTGGCTCACACCTGTAATCCTAATTATTCAGGAGGATGAGATCTGAGGATCACAGTTGGAAGTCAACCTGGGCAAGAAAATCTGTGAGATTCTTATCTACAATTCTCCAGCTAAAAGCCAGAAGTACAGCTGTGGCTCAAATAGTAGAGCACTATCCTTGAGCACAAAAACTCAGACAGTGCCTAAGGCCCACAATTGACCAAAAAAAAAAAGTTAGAAGGGTAAAACTAAAAAAAGGCATGATGTTCTGACTTGTGAATGAAAATGAAATTGAACTTTGGAGGGTAAAGTATATATGACCAATAAAACTGATTGTCTGCACATGCAGGGTTTGAGACATGGAGATAATACCAAAATAGTATTTAAAAATAAGAAAAAATTTAAAATACCAAAATGATTGCTTGGAACAAACAAAAATGAAATAAAATTTCATCTATAATTTCATATCATAGTTCACATATTTTTTAAAAATTTTTGTCGGTTGAGAGGCTTGATCGAACTCAGGGTCTGGGCATATTCTACCACTTTAAGCCACAGCCCCAATTCTACTTTTGAGTGGTTAATTGGAGCTAAGAGTCTTGCAGGGGCTTTTTTTGTCCCAGCTGGCCTTTGAACCATGATTCTCAGATCTCAGCATCCTGAGTACCCAGGATTACAGGCCTGAGCCACTGGTACCCGACTTATAAATGTAAAATACACATAAAAAATTAACTTAGCAATGTGGCATAATTCTTTTGAGGAAGGGACGTTGCTAAGAGACTAACTCAAAGCCTGGCTGCCTTCAAAAGTGTTGAGAAAAGGGGCAGATGGCACCACATAATTGATGTGTACAAATCAAGGTAGTCACTATTGAGGGCTTGAATTATGTCCTTCCATACTCTCCTTGAATTTAGTTTGTGTTGAGAAATATGCTGCTATTTTAATGGGCTTACCATTGTAAGTAACTTGTCTCCTCTCTTTTGCAGCTTTCAATATTCTTTAATTCTGTGTTTAATTTTTTTTACCTATTATGTGTCTAAGAAATGTTCTTCTCTGATAGTGCATGTTTGGTGTTCTGTAGGCCTCCTCCACCTGGATTGTTCCTCGAAGTTAGGGGAAGTTTTCTATTATTCTATTGAATTGACTCTCAATGCCTTCATTTCTTCTTCTACACCCATGATTTGTAGGTTTGCTCTATTGATGGAGTCGGAGTGGTCTTCTAAATTCCATTTGCATCTTCTTCCACTTGCATCTTCTTCAGTGATTTTGCAATGTCTCTGAGACATTCCTCTGCTTTATCTTCAACCCCTAACACCCTATTTTCAACTTTCAATTGAGTTTTTATTTGAGCTACCAAACTCTTCATTTCCAAGTATTTCAATTTGACTTTCTTTCAAGATTACTATCTCTTCACTGAATTTCTTTTATAACTGGCATTTTCTTTATTTCATTCAGCTGTTTGTTTGAATTCTCTAGTTGTCTGTATCCTGTTTGAATTGGTTCAGGTATTCGATCATCATCTCCTTGATTTCATGGACCATTCTTTCATGGTACTATTGAGCTCATTTTTTTTAACTTTCTTCCTCTTCGTTTTCACTTAGGTCCTTTATTGTAGAGTTGTTGGCTTTTGAGGAAAACATGTTGCTTTGTTTATTCATAAATTTAGTGATTTTTTTTTCTGCTGGGACTTATGCATCTGGGACCCAGTTTTGATGGAGATTTCAATCTCCTGTGTCCTTTTGGTTGGTGATTTCTTGCAGAGTACTTATGCCAGGGTAATGGCTTGGTTGTGGTGTATTTTCCTGTTACGAGATTAGAGGGGTGCATCTCAGTTGTCAAATAATCAATTTCAATGCTCAAGATACTGTGTATAGAACTCTTCTCCACTCAGGTGAGGAAGTTTGGCTATGAAAACTATTGGAGTTAAACCACAACCTTGTGTTTGTGGCAATACCTAATGCAGACTAGTCACCAGTACTATTCCAATATCTTTTAAAGTTTCATGTTCTATGAATATAGAAGCAAAAATGTATCCTAGTGGTCTAGGAAGATCTTAGTTAACCAGAGGGGTAACAAGAGAGAAATAATGGGAATAGTGTCAAGTATTCAGTTACACGGGGAAGAAAGGGATAAGGGTAACCCTAATAGGAGAGGATAATGAGAAAGTGAAGTGAAATAGTAGAAAAATAAATCTAGCTAATGTACGTATGACCATAGAAGATGATGCTAAGTGAAATAAACCCCAAGATAGGGACACAAGAGGTTTTGTCTTTGAAGCTATTGTTTTTAAGGTATTATATGACTTTTTTTGTTTCTTTTGTATAACCTCTTTTTCACTATATTTGATTCTGGTGCCCTGCATCTTGTATATACATTTTTCTAATTTGAGGAGGGGAAGGGAAATAACAAAATGCTGAAACAAGGATACAGACTGACCCACTGTAACAATGAAACAATGAGATGTACAAGATACTAAGTTGAAAACGAACTTTACAACTTGGGGGGAGGGTAGCTCTGGAGGTGGGGAGGGAAGGGACAGTAGGGGAAATATGAAGGAGGGGGCAACAATGCTTGAGAGGAAATGTACTCATTACCTTACTCATGTAACTGTAACCTCAGTTACAGTATCTTTACAATATATATATATATAGATATATATGGTGGCTCAGTGGTAGAGTGCTTGCCTTGTATGCATGAGGCCCTGGGTTTGATTCCTCAGCACCACATAAACAAAAAAAGTCAGAAGTGGTGCTGTGGCTCAAGTGGTAGAGCGCTAGCTTTAAGCTGAAGAGCTGAGGGACAGTGCCCAGGTCCAGAGTTCAAGCCCCACACTGACAAGAAAAAAATATATATATATAAAAGGGCTGGGAATGTGGCCGAGTGGTAGAGTGCTTGCCTATCATGCATGAAGCCTTAGGTTTGATTCCTCAGTACCAAATACACAGAAAAAGCCAGAAGCGGTGCTGTGGCTCAAGTGGTTCAGAGCTCTAGCCTGAAGCTGAAGAGATGAGGGACAGCGCCCAGGCCCAGAGTAAGCCCAACTGATCAAAAAAAAAAAAAAATCTAGCTAATGTTGCTGAGGGGGGAGGTGAAATGAAGAGAATTGAACACACACACACACACACACAGAGCAAAACAGCAACCATGACAAAAAAGAAAAAATAACCAAAACTCAAAACAGCTAACAAAAAATAGGGGAAAAAAAAAAAAAGAACGATGTTCAGCTAATCTACTTATCTGTTGTAGGATAGGTAATGAGGAAAGATTAGAAATTGGAGAACAAGGGTAGCAGGAAATATGAGCAAGAAAACAGCTCTGGTTATAGATAAAAGGAAAGTATACAAAGTCAGGCAAGAGGACAAAAAATATGATCAGATATGATGACTTCAAAGGAAAGGAAGGAAAGAAGATGAAGCA